AAGTGCAATATGCAAAATTTCTATAATGCTTTCACAACAGCTGATATACAAAATATTCAACAGAAGTAGGTATATTTCATCTCTTGCATACGTGCAACTTCTTTGCTGACTGAAAACCTGCATTGATTACTTTGTCGTTAGTAATCAGTAGGTTGCTTGAGATTAAATATCACCTGTCTTCCTCGCTACTGCCTAGATTTCAAGCAAACCACCTTGGTCATCTCGGAACATAAACACAGCAATTTAGGAAATGTCTATTGACTGCCAAATGAAGCCAACACAGTTAGTGGATTGTGAACAGATTCGAAAAATGAAAAATGAAGAGGGGTAATCATGGAATAGAAAGAGTAGTTTAGCCAGTATATCCAGCTAGTATTAATGTTTATTGTTGACTTTCTTCGTGCACATTCTAATTCTTGGCCAGTTATAGGAACACTAAATTGCGCCGCATATTTACCAATGCGACAAAATTTCCATTTGAGTTAATGCTAGACAATTACCTACAAATTCCAACAAATAAAAGTAAGGTTTATGAGAACATTGTAATCGTCCTCTTCTCTCAATCAATCTGTGTCCGTAACTTTAACTTGAATTTACTCCTTTATTTATTTCAGTTTTAGATTGCTATGCTTTTTCAGACCACACGCAAGACGTTACCTAATTTATTTTTTTTTCGCAGAGAACCGTGAAATATTAGAAGGCAAAATATCAGATGTTTTCTTTTTACATTCATTTTATATTTAATTTTAGGAGAATCACCGATAAACCGAAGGTACCAATTACTCGTGCAGAACTGCTCCCATCAAATGAGTATACGTATCAAATATATTATCAAACTACATGCTGATGATTGTATTGTAAGATAGTAATTGCGAAGTTGACCATCTCAACTCTTCGACTATACCTGTGTTTTACTGATTTACTCGTCATTCTAATTTATTAAACAACTCATGTTAATTCAGATCACATGATCAGTAATTATCATGTACTTGTAAAATTTTAAAAAGTTACATATTTGTTTACATTCAATCATTCACATTCGTATATTAAAGCATTCTTCTGTAACGAATACATTTTTTTTAAAAAATTCTAAATTTAAAAAATTTTTTTCGAGCCTTGCAGCTGGACCCTAGCAATTATAACATATATTATAAACGACGAAGACGAATTTATCACTCAACTATTCCACACACTCGCAAATCTGAATTTCTATTCAAAATTAATGCACGAAAAATTCACTTTATCTATCTCAACAACAAACTTAATTTGTTGTTTTGTGAGCAGATTGGATCGTAAGTTATCGGCACTACACTACTTCACACATTTCCTAGCTTCTTTTTCACTCTTTAAGAATTAAGCAGTTCTAAAGAATAAATGCTGCATCAATAATAACAATGGAGATTTGATACTTGCTCTGATAGAGCTACACTCCTAAGGAATGTGATGAACGAATATGATAAACTCAGTAAATTCTCCATACTTTTTTTAAAGTTGGATTTTATTTCAAACATGGTCCTTTCAGTGAAGCGACGTACAATGTGTTTCATTACCGTCTAAGAACCCGAAATTGTATCTTACAAACAAAATTGCCAATGCCTTATTCAAGGTTAAAACGTTCAGTTTTTCAACTGGGGTAAGCCTACTCAACAGTTTTCTTTCTCTGAAATTTCCAGCAAATATTTCCAAATAAAGATACATTTTACAATAAATTATATCATAGTGCAAGAATGAGAAAAAAGTAATTCATGTATGTTAAGGAAATTTAAATCTACTTTCAATACCATTTGGTAATTTCGTAACAAATCAAATAAGATTAAACAATCAGCAAAGTGGACGTACGTATTATCTTCCTCATAATATATGTAATCAAAAATCTCCACACCATCTAATAACATATGATTCCTGAAGACTGTAGAAAATTTTTTGCTAGATTATAAAATAGTGTTATGAATATATTAAATTTCAACAGTAAGCATTAATAGTGTTATGAATATATTAAATTTCAACAGTATTGAATTTTTCAGAAATAGAGGAACGATACTGGCAATCATCCTAGTTTTAGTTATAGGTGTACCTATATTGATTATTCTTACCTCTCTCTTTATCATTGTTGTTATATATTGCTGCTGCCAAAAGAATGGTTGGTATTCATACAACTAAAAAATATAAAAAATATCTATTAAAATTGTTCAGAATGTTAGTAGTCTGACGAACAAAAAGGACACTTTTGAATGACTAAGTTTCTGATCAGTAATTATTGTTAGAAAAGATAAAGTGATTACATGTGAATATATCTGTTGGTAGCTAATAATATTATTGAATAGGAACAACGGAAGATGAACTACCGAAAAGTTTGATCGAGAACTGCAGAAGAGCAGAGCCACCACCCGAAGAACAAGGAAAATATTTGCCGGAGCCATTCGATGCCGCAGCATTCCAGTTCAAAGGACCACTTATTATTGAATATCCTAAATTACATATTCTTGTTAGTTAATCAATAGGAGTCTCATGTTTTGAATACTTCCCTTAATAATATATATTAATAACAATATTAATTATATATGATAATAACATATATAATAAGCAGCACTAATTAAGGTTGATTTAATTTAAGTTTAGGAGCATGATCTTACAAACGCGAAACCAACTGGAAGCAGTGTAAAGGATCATGTTCAATTCGATGAAAACCTTAATGTCGTATGTTTTCTAGATTATCATTAGATTTATCTCCAGTTAATTCTAGTGGGACATCTCATCTAGATTCTGGAATATCTTATTTCGATCATGCTTGCCAGCGATCGAAATATGGCGTAATATGTTCCAGAATCTTCTTTATTGCAAAACTGGAATTATCTAATCTTTCCGTTTTAGGCTTACAACATTGGAGAAAATGTTGAAATAATTATTAAAAACTATGGACAAGGTGGAACATTATATAAATTCCAAAACAACTCTTAATTGCTACTAATTTTACTACTGCACTTTAAAACTAGTCTTTTCCCTTTTTGATTTAATTATCAAATAAAAAAGGAGGAGTATAAAAAAAAGATCTTTACTGTTTTGTTAAATTCAGTGCTCCGAAAAATGTTGAATACCACATCTACTGTTAATTCTAAGAATGAAGAGTATCAAATCCATATTTGATCTCTTAAAAGAGAAATTATGACAGGAACCAAAATCGGAAGTGCTGAAGTGATCAAAGAAGACGGAGGAGATGAAAATGATGAGACAACCAACGAACAAGAAAACGGTTCCAAACATTCGATAATCGAAGACGGAGAAAAAATAATAGCAAAACATTCGAAAACGCAAAATACTCAATCACGAGATAAAAGAAGTGGAACAATAGAAATGTTAGATCTGAGAAAGAAATCTAGACCTGTATCAGTCCGTACACAAAGAACACAACCAAGCAGATATTCCGAATCATCCACGCAAACTCTCAGGGTTGAGAGCGAAGCGAATGTTAGAAGTCCTAACGGGCGGAGTTGGACGGATATACGACAATGTATCTCCAGCATGGAGTATGAAGCCGGAACAAAAAAGAGTAAATTGTTACGGAAAAGAGCTTCAACTATCTTAATTAAACAAACAGATCTCGATCAGGCACCGGCAAAATCGAAGAAGATAATGTCAGCCAATGAACATGATGCGTTATCGATCGGCGCTAATATCATGCCAACAGTAAATATGATGAAATCTCAACAAAAAGAAGCCGAAGATGCTAATCCTTCTGCATCCGGTTCATCCAGAAGTCAATACAAGAGCTGTGAAACATCCGAAAGGATGCATTGCAGCTCCTATGTGGAGGCGGGTAACAAGTCTATATTTTTACAATGATATTTCAATCGTCTTAGAATAGGATGACATATACAGCAAGTCTATTAATTTAAAGGTCGCCATTGCGATAGCTAAAATTTAGTTCAACTAAATCTGACCTATTTGTTATAAAGCTAGAATACACATATTAGTAGACCAGTAAAAATACATTTATATAAATTCATGTAAAATTACAAAAGAATATTGTTAAGTTTTAGGTGGGAAATAATTTTTTTGGTAGTAGATACTGGAAAATAGAAGCCTTCAAGATACTGAGACAATAATGGCGATATAAAAAATCTATATGAGAAATTAATATTTGTAACAAACCAACTATTTTAAAGTTTTTTACAGAGACTTAATTTTTAATGCCTAATATATGCAAGGAAATTTTCCTTCAAATTGAATTCAAAAAAAGAGTTATAAAATGTCTGATGTATACAGTTAATGAAAATTATCAATGCATTCAATATAAATCGATTCCTACTTTTTTAGGAAAAGCAGTGACTTCTGGAAAACAAAAGACATCCGAATTATACACTTCTATCAATCGTTATGCAATTAAAATTATGTTTCCGAATGATTTAAGTAATAAGAATAAATTCAAGAAATATTAACAGTTTACAGAAAAATTTAATTAATTGATGTTCATCAAAAAAATTTAGTTTTATGTACCATGACGTTAGTGTGAAAAGCAACTTTTATATACCATAGTATCAAGATTTATCATTTATACATCCAAGTAAAATAATATTCAGATACAAACCTCTCAGGACTCAGTTAAGCATCACAGATTATTTATGACTGAAATATATATTGAGCCGCTAATTCCTGAGCATAAGATTATTGCTTTTCGAAAAACAATTACTAACACGAATTCAAAATTTTGATTAAGGATAAAGTTTTACAATCCAAGAAAAGCTAACGAACACGAACAAAAATCACTTTGATATATTTTGCAAGTCCGGAACTGCTAAGTTATGCATTTTGTAACTTCATCACTGTTTGTTTCTTTTTTTCTTACTATCTGCTATTGCTTTTTCTAGTCGATTTCTATAATTTATTTCATTTGGTAATACATATTAAGATAAATAACAGATTTCAGGGAAATTGTCTTCCGTCACAAGTAGATTTTTTTAAACAAAAGATAAGCCATGAGATTCCATATCACTCTATTTCTTCTAAAAGAGCAGAAAAATCTGTCGGCTCTCGATTCCTGGTCTTCTACGCTGTTTCATCAAATTTTGCGGCAAGATCAAGTGTATAGATTTTATTTGACAAAGACTGGAATACAATTAATTAATGAAATTCAAAACCATGGATAGTCTAAAAATCTTCAATTTAGGTCCTAAAAATAGAACTCTTAATAAAATGCAACCACTAGAAAAATGACAAAAGTTTTTGGCAGTAAAAATTTGATTATAGGGATTCTATTTCTAAATAACTGAAGTAATTTTCCTTATACACATGCTAGAGAGTTTTTGCAAAAGTTTTCAGTAATCTGAAAATATAGTAAGACGATTAAAGGAACTGAACGAGTGTCAAAAAGATTAAACAACTGAGTGAGTGTCAATGCAAAAATTATTTGAGCTCTACAAATTTATTCATCCAATTGAATAAGCTGGAGAAAATATAAGCTGTCAGTAACCATTAAGTGATTAACCAACAATAAAAATTAGATTGATTAGAAATAAAGTAGAAATTTAAAAATAAAGATAATGTTGCATTGTTATCTAAAGATGTTGGTAAGAAATCACTCTTGAAATAGTTATCAAATTCTTTTTTCAAAGAGTAAAAATAAATTTAAAAATTAAAATCAAATACAAGAAATTCAAAATTATATATAGCATACGATAATTTTTGGCCTTCAATTGGATCAGTGACTGACTCAAGATCATTATCGGAAATAGAATCGTTCTGCTTGTGCTGGGCTTAACCACATCAATGTTAAATAAATTGATATTGACATGTATATATAAATTAATATTAGCATACAAAATTTATCAAAAATGAGCCAAGAAAGAATATAGAAAAGCAGTAATAAAATTTATTTATGAACTGATTTTTCTATTTTTTTTTAACTCATGTAGTTTCTTTCAATTAGCTAACGACATATTATATGATTGAAAGCTTTTTCTTTTGGTTAACTTAGGTTATAATGCCTTTTTTCGACTAACGCAATACTTTATTTAAAGCTTGTTACGATAAATCATTTAGCGATAAATCAGTTTTTTATTAGCATATTACATTACATATTTTATGTACTTATCAGTAATTTTAATAAACTAATTTTGATTTGCTTCCTTCATTTATATGTACATTTTATATTTATGCTTTTCAACTGAACTGAAAATATATATTACTATGATAAATATCTCTCAGCAAACAATAAATACAATTTGTATTATGGTGATGTTTAATAATAAATGAATATTTGAATAATCGTACTACTCAATTTTAATTTGAATAATTGAAAATCGAAAATTTTTAAAAAAAGCGAAAATCAAACTGAAACTTAAGCTCTTTTCCACTCTTCGTAGTCTTTTTTCTAATTTTTCTCATTCGTTATAACCTATTTTTATTTTTTTCTTTTTTGTCTCTTGATCATATATTATATTAGTTATATCATATTAGCGATGATAATATTAAAAAGGAATAATACAAAAGCAAAAAAATGACAAAAAAGCTAATTTTTTATAAAATTTTTTGATTTATTAATTTACCACTGATTTAAATGAATATAATATGGTGGATTCGTCCATAAAATAAAATAGTTAGCTTCATGGTTAATTTTTATTGCTTTTTTATTGTCCCTTTTTAAATAGTATACTTTTTCAATCTCTCTTTTAGGTCTTCCAGTAAGCAAATCTTATAATTCAACTATTCATCTAATTTACATTTATTTATTTTTTACCATTCTTTTTTTAATCCATAAATTAATTTTGCAAAAGAGATTTAAACTATTTTAAAATAACATACTAAAATTTTACTTTAAGTAAAACAATTATGTAAAAAAGAACTAGGTAACAAAAAAAGATGTAAATCACCTAATTTATCAATAGTTATAGATTCATACATTAGTCGCTTATGGGATTACTAAAATAATACAAGAATTTTAAAGTCATTAGTTTTTATTTATTTTATTTAGTTTTTTTCTTTCCCTCTTTTTTTCGAATGATTTGCTATAATTATATTCAAGTTTTTTCCTTTTTATATGTTATTTAATCTATCTAAATTTTTTATTCATTAATTTAGTTTTTTTTCGCCCTTTTTTTGCTACAATTACATTAAAATTTTTTTGTATATGCTGTTTAATTTACCAGAAATAATTTGTATTTTTATTTTTTAATCAATTGTCAATATTTTAATTTCATGCATATTGAGAGAGGAAGAGAGAAAGAGAGAATGTTAACTTTTAAATCTAATGAAAATGATTGAAATGATTAAATTTTAATGTACATAAATAATTAACTTATCACTGAAAGTAATTTATACAAAATGAAATATTATCAATTAATATAATATAAATTTTAAAAATTGGAAATAAATTGAATTTAAAAATTGATTCAAACTATTATTTATTCCAACATTTATTTATTATTTATGATTCCAACACTTATTTTTTTATCCTATACATTGCTTATATCATATCATTTTTATAAATATTACATTCGGTAAATATTTATTGTTATATTACTAACTTATACTAAATCGTCATTGCCAAATTTTTAAAAATTTAAATTATCAAATAAAATTTCTTATAAAATTGTTAAAAACTTAAATTATCGAATAAAATTTCTTATAAAATCGTAAAATCGTAAAATTTTTGCAGATTTCGACAATTGTGATTTTTTCGTTATTTAAAAAAAAAAAAATTTTATTAAAAAAAAATAACTTCATTATCTTTATAAAAAGATCAATTAGAATAAATGATGTTCTAATTTTAATTTATATTTTTCTGATAAGTTGAAAAGCTCTGAAAAGTTTTAAACTTTTTATAGGTTTAAAATTTGGACTCTTAAATCTTTATAAATGCTTTATTTGAAATAAAATTTAGCAAGCATGTGAAAGTAATTTTTATATTATTATTATTACATGAATTTTTAGTTTTAATTTTTATTTAATGCTTTTCACTTTAATTAATTCAGATTTATGTTTAAATTAAAATGAATTTCCAAAAGTTCTAAAAGATATTTTAATATTGAATGGCTTTATTTTGTTCTATTTTATTCCACACTTATTTAGGAAAAAGTTGAAAATCTTCATTAAACATTTTTGTTGATAAAATTGTTATTGTTAAAATTTGCAAAATGCTTTACTAATTATTTACTGAAATTCCATCATTTACTTAATTATTTTATAAATTTCGAAGTTTTTTTTCAAATCTGTTTAATTTCGATACTTTTTTTGATAGAAACATTTGAATTATCATTTATTTCGCAGAAAATGAAATATTATATTAAATGAATTTTTTAGATTAAAACAGCAAATAATAACTAGAATTATAAATAGTAATTTTTTAATTTTATCATCATGTTTTAATGTCTCGAAAACGATCCGAACATTTATTTATAATTTTCCCTCTTTTCTATATTGCAATATTTATTCGGCTCTTACTTTACCCACTTCATTCGACGGTTTGTTTAAAATTTTTTATTTTTAAATTATTGATATTCTTAATATATTTATATATCTATATTTTTGAAATTATTAATAAATATTTATTTTTCGGAATTTTTTCGATTTTAGTTTAATCATTGAAAATTTGAAAAAAATGTATGTAGTAAAATATATTTCAATTTGAAAAACGAAAAGTCTTTTTTGTATTCTTTTTGCTTTTTTTAAATTGTATGTGAAAATTTTTTTAGCAATCACTGCAAATTTCGTCAATTTAATTATAAAATCAAGGGTTTGGAAAGGCTTTTGCAAAAAATAAAAATGAAATTGCATCAGTTCAGCTTTTTTTTGCGTTTTAAAAAAACTTTATTTTAATAATGTATAAAAAATTTTAATTAAGTTCAAAACTGCTAAAAAATTTTGATATTATAATTATTTATATATTAAATAGAAAGTAAATGTCGTCTATTGATCTTGTTATCTTGGTAGAGAAATGGTAAGAGTTAATGAATTATTCAAATTGTCTTCCAGCGATATTGTTATTTTGGTAGAAAAATTGTATGAGTTAATGAATTAATCAAAATATCTTCTAGTGATATTGTTGTATTGGTAGAGAAATGGTATGAGTTAATGAAATTCAGTTATGCTAAGATTATAATTATAACTCAGTTATACTCAGATAATAATTCAGTTATACTCGGACAACAATTCAGTTATACTCAGATTATAAATTAGTTATACTCAGATTATAAATCAGTTGTGCTCAGATAATAAATTAGTTATACTCAGATAATAATTCAGTTATGCTCAGATTATAATTCAGTTATGTTCAGATTATAAATTAGTTATACTCAGATTATAATTCAGTTACACTCAGATAAGATTATAACTCAGTTATACTCAAATTATAATTCAGTTATACTCATTAATAATTCAGTTATACTCAGATAATAATTCAGTTATTCATAATCTGAGTATAACTGAATTATAATCTGAGTATTGCAGAATTATAATCTGAGTATAATCGAATTATAATCTTAGTATATCTGAATTATAATCTGAGTATGAGTATAACTGAAATATAATCTGAGTATGAGTATAACTGAATTATAATCTGAGTGTAACTGAATTATAACTGAATTATAATCCGAGTATAGCAGAATTATAATCTGAGTATAATCGAATTATAATCTTAGTATATCTGAATTATAATCTGAGTATGAGTATAACTGAATTATAATCTGAGTAAAGGAATTATAATCTGAGTATAACTGAATTATAATCTGAGTAACTGAATTATAATCTGAGTATAACTGAATAACAATCTGAGTGTAGCCGAATTATAATCTGAGTATGAGTATAACTGAATTATAATCTGAGTATAACTGAATTATAATGTGAGTAGAACTGAATTATTATCCGAGTATTACTGAATTATAGTCTGACCGTTATTCACAATTCATGGATGTGTGATACTAAGACCGTTATCCACAATTCATGGATGTATGACACTTGTATCACAATTCATGGGAACGAAGACAGGTATTAGCTAACAATAGCTGTAATTGGATTACTGGAGTATCCTTTAATATTCCTGAAAAATGGAATTGTGAAGAAATTATTCACAAAAATGCTACATATCACAAAGTGGATGTGTACACACGCACCCATGTAAGAATACCAGCTATAAAATGTAGTAACATTACACGGACTGTATGCACGAAAGCCTTTCTCAGAATATCGCTATCGGTAGTGTCAGACTATACGTCTACTACCGCAACTTCTTCACAATTCTGCAGATATTTAAATGTTCGGAAACAAATGAACGGAATTGGACTAATTCAATCTTCTCCTAATCAATGGATAACGAATAAGGAAATACAATACTCCTATGGATGGTTAGGAGTTAACTGTCAATCAACATCAAACTTCATATTAACCTAAGGAGAAATTTTTCTATACGATGGAAAAGAGTTAGTTTCTAACCTTGATGATATAAAAGACTGTTTGACACAAAAAGGTGAATGTATAACAAATACTAGCATTATCATATGGAATAGGAATGATATAACCAATCATTCGAAAGATCGGAAGATTCAAAGCTACAAAGTATAACAACCACTTCATCATCGACAAGATACAGGCATCGCTTATAATTAATGAGAACCCCCTATATTAAATACCAAAAATTGTAGATTCACCTCTCCACTTTTAATGCAAGGCAATATAGTTATTGAAGTAGATGTTGAAGATGACTCGAACTCTAGTACAAAATTCAAACAAAGAGTAACAAATAAACTATTGATGATGGAAAAATCTCCTGATAAAAGGTTCGATCCAGAAAACGTAAAGCTTCAATACCTCTTCGATTCACTAAGACAAGAATTCACTCAACAACTCAAAGAAACACAGCAAAGAAGTTGCCAAAACAAGAATAACTTATTACTGTTAATCAAATGGCTGTCAATCAGCAATCCTACCTTTGCAGCAAAACTTATACTTCAAAGAAACGATGTGATAGCTAAAAGGATTTACGAAAATTTGATGGTGACTCCTTGCAAATCAGAACAATCAACAATCGAAAATATCGAATTCAAAGGAGATTTAATAAGTATGTTTGACATTTAACTATATACCTCAAAATCACTCTCTCAAAATTACATCTTAAAACAATCTCTCTCGCCCTTTGGGAGTGTCGCGAATTATAATTTCGCGAAAACTTCTATCTAAAATAATAAGAAGGAAAATTAATAAAAACTAACTAATCATTTTTCAGTTGTAACTAATTTCATAATATCATAAACTAATTCCTCATAAAACTAGTTTCTCAAGATTTAAAACCAATAAAGACTAATTAATCATTTTTTAATTGTAAACAATCCCATAATAAAACAATCTCTCCATAAATCTAGTTTCTTAAGATTTATTACTCATATGATTTTAAGTAAATTTGTAAACACTTCCAATTCTTAACACATGATTCCTGTCGTTCCAGATTAAAGTTGCCAAGCCTACAACAATTGGTAACGAACTGATTGAAGAGCCGTTTAGATGGGACCAACGCCTTTATTCAATAGTTCTACGTCTCAGCAGTACTTCTATGGGAAAAGTCTCCCCTGGAATGAATATACCTTCTGATAGTAGTCCAATTGATGCGATGTGTATTGCAACTGGAGGTAAGTAGTCATAATTATTGAGATTTTCTTGTGAGAAAAAAGATCTTTCTATTTTTCTTGTAAATCAGTTCTCAGTGCTTGCTTAAAATTGGATTTAAAAATTTCTTTCTTGTTTTATTTTTCGTTTTCATATGGATTATACTTGTATGTACATTAATGGGATTTTTTAAACAGCAGTAATATTTCGGAATAATTTCAGGACGGTCATATTCCGTATCATCGCATAAAATGCTAGCTATATGCGTTGAATCGATTGTTCAAAAATTGCAACAACAGGGAATCATCTTACGCTCTGAAAAATATGGATTAGATCCCACATTAAGTCTCGCTATTTTTCGAAATTTTCAACGATTTATTTTTAATTTCAACTTCTGAATTAAAAAATAATGCTTTATAAATTCGTTTGGATCTCATTCCGGAAATTAAATGGTCTTTTTTTTTTTTAGACCGAACAAACGGCGTTGTTGAAAACGGAAATTCAAAAAAAAAAAATGATGAATTAACATCGGTTGGTGGTAAACCATTTAATTCAGATAACTGGCATAATGTTACTTGTATCGTCTATATCGTCTATTTGCGGGCATCACGATCATATCCCGGGCACTGGCCCATTCCAGAATCGTTTTGGCCCGATCGCAACATGCATTTTTTTTTTTTTTGATTTACAACTTTTAAAACATTGCTCAATATTTTATTGCATATTCTTGCTTTGGGAGGAAATTTCATGATGTTCTATTCATTCTTCAGTAACTGAATTTAGTCTTGATTTTCTTTTTTCTAATACATTCAGTTGCAGGATAAGTTGGCCGGCACGAAAAGCTCATCCAGTGTGAATCTCTTGTTTGTCAGGATTTCCCATTTGATAAATATGAGCTTGAGCCTTCATCTTTAACAAGGTTTATATTAGAGCGTAAACAACATGGAGTCTGTTGGCAGGATAATTTCTCTTTTCTTTCCAATTGTTGTGATATTTTCTTGACTAGATCATGACTTTTTTAGACTTGAAACTTTCGGTTCCATCGGCTTCTTTAACCGTCCCCATTGTTTATACGAAATATATTTTCATGAGTCTCACTGAATTCAGAAGATGGGCTTCAAGTTACTTTAAGACAAGGCATTAAAACCAGTGGGGCTTAACGCAAGTAATTAAAACTAGCTCATTTAGTTATTAGTAAAGTGAATTTCTTTTAGAAGATTCGTATACATCTCGTCTCATTTATGTCATAACAAACCGTGGCCATTGAATTTGTTTTTTATTAAAATAATGAAAATTTTAGGTTTTTGTCCATAATTCAAGTGTACTCGGGGGTTCACCGGCTCCTTTCGGATACTTCAAAGCGGCCACCAATTTATCATGCGTAAATTTATTTATAATGCCTTACAATTATCCGCTTCTGCTTCCGCTAATTGAGGAAGTGAAGATGGATCTGAAAGCAAAAATAGCCATTCCTGGCGTTTGCGTCTGGAAAAATATTTGGCCACTGTTCCAAGTTACTATGTACAGGTAAATCTTATTTTTGCGGCCAGAATTATCACTCTTTGATAGTGTTTTACAACCAATGACTGTTTTCATATGGTTCAATCAGGAAGATATAGGATAATAATAGGACTAAATTGAACTCTCTATTCAGGCTTATATTATAGTATTATTTGTACATGTGTGTCAAAACTGTAGTTCTTTGGTTATTTTCGAGGAAATGAAGAAATAATGCATGATTGTGTGTGGACTTGAGTCAAGATTTTAACATTTCCAAAAGGCTTTATAATTTGAGTGAACTTGGGAGAGTTTTCTATATTTGTTTTTTCTATAATTTTAAAAATTGGAATTTTGCTTTAGCTACTAAAAAAGGCATTCACTCGATTAAGTATCTCACATAACATGTTGGAACCTGACCAAATGCAGCAGTATTCGTATAATATATTGTCTTATATTGCGAAAGTGAAGCATATGGCTCGTGAAGAATTTGAATCGTTGTGTAGTACCATGGCAGCATCGTTACAAATTTCTCTTGTATCATTGGTTTGTTTTAAACATAATTATAAAAATGTATAAAGCCAATTATCTATCGAAACAATCGTTCATGCTGTAATTTTAGGTTGGCGTTCAGAAGCACATCTCTGCAATGGTAGAGGTATGAAAAGGATCTCTGAATATAATAATAATATGGACAATTTTCATGGATTTCAGGTTCTTTTTTTTAACTTTTTGTTGGTGTATGTGTTGTTGTTATGGCACATGCCTCAAGATGCAGGCCTTTTTGTTTATTAGGTTTTGTCATCGTAATCATAGTAGGCATGAAGATCAGTTATGGTCATTACTTTGAAGACCAGATGAGTGTATCGGTAACCATGCAGCTTATTATAGGTACAAGTTGAGATCCCCAAAATATTGATTGCTCCATCGTTACAATTTCGAAATCTGTTTGAAATTAGACGGGGTAAACTTTTCGAGCAAGTGCAGAAAATGCGAATCAATTTAATGCAACAGCTCAATGTAGGGCAGATACCAATATTTGAAGGTGGTCGACCTGGCACTAGTATAAAATTGCAACATGCGGGTTTGTTTTTTCTAATATTTCTCATTTTCAAGCTGAAATACTTCGTGTTGTATTTACTTTTATTTGCAGAAGATTTGCATAATCTTCTCATTGGTCAGATGGGAAATTATCAAGAATATATCAAGAGTCTTGAGGCTGTAGGACGTGGTCCACTTAGAGAAGTTGAACCTCAAGCAATCCGCGTATATGCGTTCGGGAACCCTTTTAAAATTGATAAGGTGGGTTCGTGTGACATTTTTGACTGATAAATCTTATAACCAAACATTTAGATGAAATGTTGTCTATCAGTGAAGATTTGTAATTAAGACGTATTACTTCTGAGAGATTTATGTTATTTAGCTTACCTTAAAAGTGTGGAGGAATGACTTTGTTTTAGCTGTAGATTCTGAATATTTGATTATTTGCATGTCAAAGATCCATTCCTAGCCTGCTTAAACAAATAATATAAATAAGAAAACACTAACAAAGATTTTATGAATTTTATTGATTTTAATATGATGTTTCCTGCTTACTAATGTTTGTTTTTTCATCGATCTCATTGATTCACTTATTTGAGTTTCGAACTTATGTGTACACTACTGTCACGGATTATCCTTGCTTGCTTACTCAGGCGGGTGCTTCTTGATCCTATCTTTTGTCCAATGTACAAAATCTACCGTGTTTAGAGACGCAGTAATTGTTTTCACAAACCATAGTTTTTATAAATACATTTCTCAAAGTAAACTTGAGGAGGATCAATTATAATCGGGAATTGCGAAGTCCTTTATTTTCTCCTCTGTCGTAAAAACAAAAAAAGTTGAAGCTGAGACGGTATTTAGATTTCCAACTCAGATATTTCTCCACAGGTAAAAGATTTCCGAAACTTTGAAGGGATTATTTGAATCCACTGGATGCAGTCCGACAACGTTTTGGATGTGTAAAATTTACTTATTTAGCGGATAAATTTTTGGTGAAAAGCAATTTGGTTGTTATCGGTCTTAAGCACGGCATGCATTTTTTTTCTAGTTTGTTCAGTTGTATATGTTATCTGGATAAGAGTAATTGATGTATTGCAAAAAAAGATGTATATCGCAGAATGTAGCATCACAAGCAGAACTAATTTCTTTCTTTTGCAGATTAATTCAGTTGTCCTTGCTATTCTGTACAACGCAATGGGTACAAAGTGAAGTAGCTAAGGCATTTTATTATGCGGCCTCGAAAGTACCATTATGAAAAATAGTTCGTCCTTCTGTCTCCTAATAAGAGTCTGCATCAAATGATACGAATGGTTGCGTGGTACTTTAAAAGAAGGAAGGAAAAAGGAATATGTAGCGTTGAACAAATCTTATCTTTCTTACTGTTAAAACGGGAATATACTTTTGAGATGTCGAGGAATAAATTGAGCTAAAACCAGATCCTGAAAGCAGAAAAGAATAAGAAACAGTTCAAATCGGATTCTGAAAACAGGAAAGAGTAAAAAGCAGCTCAAATCGAATTCTAAAAACAGAAAAAAGTAAGAAACAGCTCAAATGGAAATGTTACTAGCTCAGTTCAAGTTAATGTCTTTTCTATTCTTTAAATTTCACAAATGAAACATCATTGTATAAGATATGCTGCCGGAAATACCAACAATTAGAACTGTTTGCCCCGCTTTGCCACGGCACCATTACTGTTATTGCCCACCCAAACAAAAGGATTTCATATAAATCAAAAAAGAAAGAAGCGCAGTACAGTAGTCTGTTGCTGCTTTTGCTTATAACAAAACTGAGTATTGTTCAGTTGTTATGGCAACAGCCAATCAGATTAGAGTGATATGAGGTTGACGAGCTGAGCGGTTGGGTTAGTCATTGTCAGTTTGTCGCTTGGTTAGGTCGGCTGCTCTCTGCTGTGTGCGCACTTATCTTTTCATTTGTCATTCACGCATTTTTGCGTAAGTTTTATCACGAATTTGGTACAATTTTGATGTGGTTTATATTGATCATTTGCGTGAATTATACGTTATGTCTTATACTGATGTGATTGTTGATTCCTATTTGGCTAATATATGTCAAATGATGAATATTATATAATAAAATCACAAACTAACAACTGACATTTTTGTTATCTTGTACGCGTTTTTTATTGAAAATAATAATTTATGAAGCATAATGGTAAGTGATACTGTTCCTCCTTTGTGTCTATTTTATTAGCATGCTATTTTACGAGATGGTCCCCAAAACTGCCAGATATTGATCGATCGATCGCCCGCATGTGTTGTTTGCAACAGATGCGCCATTTCGCCTAAAGTAGAGTGCATGCGTAGTGCGCTAGCAATGTAATAAAGATTGACTCTTTCTGTGGATTTCTCTTTATTATTTGTTATTTTGTTCGTTCTCTGTTGGTCTGCAATTCACTTTCTGGCGTATTGATGTGTACTGCAGGAAAATGCTCGTGAAAGCGAAAGAAATGAGTGCTGCGTACGCGCACGCGTTGACGTGCTTACGTGTGGTAGCACTGCAGATCAATCAATATAACATAATTTTGATGGAAAGGTAATGCGTGTGTAGGATTTGTTGCATGTTTCGAACTGACTGTTTTGGGAATCATGTGCGAAACCTCTCTACTACCCCTTTTTTTTCTCGTTTTGTTTATGCATAAAATTATTACATGATTCCTCAATAACATGCTTGAATCTCGGGATTACGGAGGGAGAAACTCACTCTTCGTAACGTGAAGGCATCATGTAATGACTGTAATGCTTTTTATTGAAAATCAAATTTCGGTACGGTTTTCGTGCATTTATGTCATCCTGAATGTGGCGAGTATTAGTAATAAGTGTTAGTAATAATTTATTAATAAGTTTAGCTCGGCGTGAGGTCTTGTGGTGAGACGTTTTGCATTACGTGTCTGCAGAAGAATCATGCGTGTGTTGGTAGTACTTTATGGCACAAAAACCTGATAGATTTATGTGGTCATCGTTGAAAACAAGAGATCTGGAATCAGAAAATAGAAGAAATAGATTTGTGCATTATTTTATTCTGTTCGCTATAAATGATGTTGTTGTGCTGATTTGCTTAGAATTTTTTTGCTGATATGTGCAGTACATTGTATTTTAACTTGCGAAACTTTCAGAAATGTCTCTTTCTGCTGCTTCAACTTCAAATGCGAACAATAGCAATAATGAGCCTGTAACAATTAGCGGCAGCATCCTTGGAGTCTCAGAAAACCCATCTGTATCGAATGAGAAAGCGTCAGTAGACACGGAAAACATTCAAATCGAGGGATCGCAAAATGGAGAAGATGCCTCTTCGGAACAGCATGTTGATGATGGAGATAATGGCGACAATGCTACCGGTGTTGGTACAGCTCTGCCATCAATAAATGGTTGGGAGTCGCCACGACAGGTTCATCATTTAACTTTGCTTGTCTCGCACATACGCGATGCAATTAAAAAGTGATACGATTATTGATTAGTTTTGCATGCATCATTTGAATCATATTAGTTCTATTTAATTGTCAGGCATTCCCAAAATGTTCTAGGAAGCAATTAATGGAGTAGTACAGCCGCGTGTAATACCACCGCCAGGTAAGCCTACACGGCATACGAATCAACTTGAATTCATGTTGAAGGAAGTTTTAAAACCAGCGATGCGTCATAAACATGCTTGGCCATTTATGAAACCTGTAGATGCTGTACGTCTAGGTTTACCGGTACGTTATTTTTTTCATAGTGAGTAAATTTTTGAGCTAATTCAACTATATTTTTCTTTGCTCATGGCTTCTTTTCAAACTATAAGTTGGAAATAGCGGATCCAAATTTTTTACATGTTAAGGATAACGATAACTTTGGTTTTTTTTAAAGGATTATCATAAGGTGATCAAGCGTCCAATGGATATGAACACCATCGAAAAGCGCTTGCGTAATTGTTACTACTATTCGGCAAAAGATTGCATGCAAGTAAGTAGGTCGTTGTTTTTTAAGCTGGAAACGGTGCGTACGGATGCATACTGTTCGGTTTGGTAAAATAATGTTTCTGCTAATGTTTTAGTTTCTCTCTGTTTTTTCTGTTCTACTAGAAAAATGGGCAGGTGATTATATTATAAAATTGGTTATAAAAATGGGGTGGGTTGTTGTGTGCACACAACTGTTTGTTTTCCTTCTCATCAATTTAAACCAAGAAATATTCCCCGCTTTACAGAAGTATCTAGGAAAACATGAATTTAGAGAGATGTTCTGCCTCAGTTTTATATTTTCTAAAGGTTCTGCCTCAGTTTTATATTTTCTGAAGAGATTCCGAAAGTGAAGAAGTCGTACTTTGTCTTTGCAGTTTAATCATTTTTTCCTGTTTAATCAATTGATTTTCTGCTATTATTTTTTTAACGATTGTTTTGTTTAACCATTGCAGGCGGGAAGTATTTCTGTATCACTTTTTTGTTTTAAGTTTTTTTTGATTAGTGCCCCTTTGATTTTGGTGGGCGCTGTTTAAAAGTCATTTGCAAAGAGAACATCGCAACGCGAGCATATTTCATAAGTGATTCGGTTGAAAGCGGAAGAATAAAACAAGGATTATGTGGCATTAATTTCATTTGAATCAATCACGTTTTGCGCTGCTTCATTCCCGTTCACTCCTAAAATTTTTGGTGTTTTTAAAAGTGAGCTGTGTTTTGTGTGTGTTTATTCTTTTTTTTCCTTGTTTTATTTTTTTAAGTTGGAGAAAAAAGCTCAATTATTTTCTGTTGTGAAACATTATTGCTTAAAAAACCTAGTTTCTTCTTTGGTGGACTTCTTTTATGCTAAAGTAATGTTTTTTGATAGAAGGGGAGAGAGAGAGTAGGGGTGCTTTGTTCGTACTTTTGGCTAATATTTTTTACTGCCTTTCTTATATTTCGTGTTTTTATGTATTTTGGAGCACTAAATATTTTTGTTAATGTTTTCGTACGAGTTGTAGTAGCTCTGGCTTGCTATACGGGTTGAACATATGCTTTAGCATATCTTTGAAAATATAGTTTATATTTCATTAGGAATCGGAATTGTACAGTTCTGGAAAGGGAAGGGACTAGGAGTGTATATAAACTTTCACGGAAGGAACCGCTTCTAATGGGATATATGCATCGTATAATGACACATTTTGAATTTTTTAATAATTCGGATTTGGAAGCTTGATTGAATGCTGTATAGTTTTTTGATTTCGAGTTAAAAAAGTAGTTTTGAGTTGTTTAACTCTCTGTAAGCTAATAAAGCGGAGTTGTGTTTTTTTTTTTTTTTTTTCACTTGATTTTTACTTTTATTTTTAACTGAATCTGATTTGAAAATTACCATTCGTAAATAAGAAAAACCACTATTCGTTATCAACGTGGCAATTAGAATCATGGAAGTTTACAAACAGCTATAGAATGATTGTATTTTGCATGCAATCACGGTATTATCGAAGGCACTTCAATCTCTGTAGTCTTAGTAGTTGCACTAAATATATGCTACCAACTGCCCTATATGCATGATTATTTTGTTTGTTTGTTTTGTAAGTTGGGCACTTAGGTATGAAAAACCACCGAAATTAGCGATAAGACAGTATTTCATAAAACATTATTTGATGGAATTTTTACTGTGCTCTTAGATTTGCAACCATACTGGACTTGCGAAGAGAATATGAAATAAGGAGTGGAAGCAGAGAGGTCTAGGCCACTTTCTTTCATTACATATTTGCGATTCTGGAAATTTTTGTATTTTTCTTGCAATATATGACTCCCTGCTAAATGTGGAAGATAAAGTCTAGGTATTTCTCTGGTAGTTAATCGAAAAATGCATTCTATTTCAATGTTTGTTATATTCAATTCTCAGAATTGTTCCGACGGTAAACAGATTTAGATTATGATAGTAATTCGGTGAGAATTGACCAAACGTTGGGGTGGAAGAGAGGCATTAAAAACAGAAATTGAGAGTTTTGCGAACATTACTTTCGATTTTCGTATTTGTGTAAAAAATTATCGAATATATGAGCCAGAAATTAATAGTGAGTTGACCGCAGAACGGTTTTTTCAAATTTCGATCCTGATTAAATGTTCCATTTTTTCATGCTGCGTTTATTGGATTCTTTAATGGCTTTGTTTTTTGTAAATGCTTAAAGGTGATAGTCCCAGAAGACTAAGGTATTTTAAGTTTGCAAATACTTCTTGGATTTCTTTCGAACCGCAAATTATTAAGAAAAAAACCATGTATGTCTTTAGGAGTACATGCAGTCTATTTTATGTAGTTTGCTGTGTGTTTGCTTGGGAGTGGATGGCAATTGTTGCAGCTAAAATACTTTTTATGCAAAAACTGTTGCCACTTTAAAGCTTGAAATAGCTAGCAGCTAAGCGCGGTTCTCTTTGTTCAGGACGTTATGACAATGTTCAACAATTGCTACACGTACAACCCTCCTGAGTACGGGGTTTATATGATGGCGAAGAACCTGGAACAGTACATTCTCAGCAAACTCGCAGCGATGCCCCCGGAAGTAAGGCTTTTTAAATTATTCAGTACATCTGTTTTGCCAGCTTTCAGGATTTTGAGTCCATTTTTTCCAACTGCTACAAATTCAACCAAAATGAGGACGATGTGTCACTTATGTGCAAGAATGTCGAAAATTTGTACCGGGAAAAAATGAAACTACTGCCGTCTCAGGTATTTTTGAAACTTTTACAATGTGCGATACGTACAGTGTTCTACAGGTTTGTGAATTTTTTTTTTGCTTTTTCTCTTTTCTTTTTTTGATGCTTTGTCTTTATTTGTGTTGCCTTAATAGCTGTTAGAATTTTATTCTAGGAAGTAGAAATACCGCGTCTAACAGCTAAGCGAGCTGCTGGTAAATCGAAGAAATCAACTGGTCGTACGGCAATCGTTAAAGGAGGTGATTGTTTTCGTGCAGTTTTACGATTTGGTAACTTCAAATTATATTTTTTTCGTAGTTGATGGTTTGTAAATTTTAATTCCAGGAAGCCGCGAATCGTCTGTATCTGTACAACGTGGAGCTGCTGACAGTTCATCTGTTTTGGATGCTACAGCAGATAGAGCTGTTCATGCTACTGCATCTACTGTAGACGATATTCATCCAACATCATCGCAAGTGCCTGTTCAACCTGTTCTTCCTTCGAAGGTTTTTGTTTTCTTTGAAAATTTTTCTATTCGTTTCGTGAAACTTTTGTTTTGATCTGAACAATATCAACTGCAATTTCTCGCCAATTTTTGAAACTAGTAAGAATATTTTGATGTTTATTATTGGCAGTGGGAACGTAGACTAATTTTAGTTAATGAAATCAATTAAAAAAAAGTTAAAAGAATAAAAAAAAGTATATTAATTTTAGGTTCAGAAAGGCGTCAAACGGAAAGCAGATACAACAACATCATTTGGTGATGATGTCATAAATGCAAAAATTGCAACTCGTCGAGAATGTGGCCGACCACCCAAAAAGCCAAATTACTTTATTGATTATAATCAGTTGAAGCCACGTTTTAAAGGAAAACAAACTGAACAAATGAAATTTTGCCAGCGACTCGTCAACGAATTATTTACGAAGGTAAGCAACAGTAAATTCTGTTGTTGGAGATGCAGATATTTTGTCTATAGCTATTGGCTTGATTCTGTGAATTTGAACTAAGGAAATGATATGTTTATAAATAACGCTAATCATCTTTTTTCTAGTGGTGCATTTTTTCCAGTACCGATTTTTTTTTTCGTTTTTGGACTGAATTTGACATTTTTTTGTATATTGTTTCTTACATAAAATTAGCGTGTATTTAGAAGTGTAAGTCGTTTACTTGGCCATTTCTCGAGCCGGTGGACGTTGAGGGTTTGAAATTGGAAGATTACTATGATATAGTGAAGAATCCAATGGATTTGGGGACGATTAGGTAATGGGCTGTCAACTTTCATTTAAAGTGTAATGTTGTCAATGTTTATTTGCTGTTTCTTCCTTGATATGATTTTAAAATTATGTTATGTGCCATATAACCATTGGTTAAATATTATCGGTTAGATATAACCAGTTAAATATTGGTACTTTTTTTGAAATTTTTTTCATTAACCACTGTTTTGTAAGCAGTAGATCAATGCTTTAAATTCCTGAAATTCCTAGATAAAGCAATAGATTTAAGGAGGAAGTTAGATGCCAAGCAATATGCCACACCAGAAGAGCTGCGGGCTGATGTTATCTTGATCTGCGAGAATTGCTACAAGTACAATCCCACATCAGATCCTATCCATCAGCACGGTCGAGCTCTTCAGGTTACTTGAATTAAAATTTTTAGATTTAAAAAATACCAAGGTTTTTTTTTTTTTGATTGTCGTAAAACAAAGGGTTTTCAGAAGTATTTCGAGGATAAATGGCGCCAAATGCCTGAGGAGCCATCAGCAATTGATGAGGGAACAACGGCTGTGGTAGCAACATCAATTCCTGCACCAATAAGTCACGCATCACTAGCTCATGCGGTTACATCAGCTTCTGCAATAGTCAAGGATGAATCAGTGGTGTCTGGTTTTCCTCTTGTGCCAGTGAATGTTTCTTCAGGTGTTATCGACAGTGATGAACATATTGATCTCATTTTACTTGCTCTGCAAACTGAAACTGCCAAATGTCAGGAAAAAATATCTGAGCTTCAGCGTCATTCTCAGGAAATTCTGTCGTTGAGGTTCGCTTTTATTTTTTCTGCGTCTCCATATTTTGTGTTAGGTCATGTAACAGAGATGGAAGAGAATAGTTTAACTGGAAGTGTAAATATGAAAATGTCAACGAATTTATTTTGTGATTCTGATCCGTTTTAGACTGAAACGAAGGGAGGCTCAAGCAAATCATCTACCCGTTCCAGTTCTTTCTGCAGCCACTGTAGGCACCCTTCAGTCTTTGGTTTCAACACAGTTTTTGTTTATTGCCAATAGCCCAACTTCGATGACGAAACCATCTACTGCATATCCAGCCAGCATTGCTGCTACTCCTGTGTCACGTAAAAAACCAGGTCGTCCCGCCAGGACTTATCAACAGCAAGCCTCTGAATTACCTGCAGGACTGCGTACGAACCACACTGAGATATCACCGCAGGATCGAGAGCTGAAGCATGAAGTGAATTCACCTTTGAGTAAAACTTCTGCCCAACAACAAGTCCAAAATTCAGTACATGTGTCTAGTCCAAATGTACGTACAACGACAGCGGTTCCACCTCAGGGAACACCTCAAAAACCTCGTGAACAAAGTGTATCAGCAGTAGCGCGGAAGCGTGGTCGGCAACCCGGCTCTAAAAACAAGCCAAAAACAGATGCGGCACAGTCAGGCACGACAGTATCAGACACTCCATCGCGGCAGTCTGGATCCAGAAGGGTGTGTGAAGATTATGACTTCGATTCGGAAGATGAACGCACTGCAGAGCCAATGAGTTATGACGAAAAGAGACAACTTTCTCTGGATATCAACAAGCTACCTGGTGATAAGCTAAGCAGTGTAAGTTTTTTGTAAATTGTTTATTTTAGGTATTGGATTTGTGGTTTCAATATACTCGATTTTTTCGGATTGTTATTCTGTCTCCCATGCAGAAATCTTTCATATTTTGATTCTTAAAAAAGGTTGTGATAGTTCAGAAGTCATGTTTTGCTATAGTTACAGTCTGTATAGAAATATTGTGCCATCATATGAATGTATATCTATATTCCTGAAATATGAACTATTATTGAGCGTTCTGCAGGTTCAGATTTGTTTTTTTTCAGGTTGTCAGTATTATTGAATCTAGAGAGCAACTTCCGGGTTTCAACCCTGAAGAAATTGAAATTGATTTCGAGACTCTTAAGGCTACTACACTGCGCGAATTAGAAGCATTTGTTGCGGCATGCTTGAAAAAAAAGCCGAGGAAACCATATAGTATGTTTCAGATTCCAAGTATATCTGTTGTAGATTTATAATTAAGATTCCAATACTAATATTTCACTATTGCAGCACCGAAATCGCAGAAAGAAGTTGAAATTAAGAAACGAGAACTGGAGGAAAAAATCAAAGGCTTGGGTGGAGTGATTAGTGCAACACCTGTGACTGTAGGTTGGCCATTTCTGTTGGTTGGTCTAATGTTCTGAACATATATTCGAAGAATTTATTTCTCTCGTTTTTCACCAAGCAAACCATTTTACTTTTCATTCCAGCACAAAATGGTACAGAACCGACAACAACAGATAAAGCTGGTGAACCGTCATCCTCAGAATCTTCTTCAAGTGAGGATGACTCATCGTCGGATTCGTCATCCTCCGATTCCTCAGATAGTGAATCAGGTTAGAGTGTTATTTGACAATGTAACCTGAGGTCTTAAACCCCATTTCAGCTTTTTTTTTTTTTTTTTTGTTATCAGTTTTGTTTTCCTTCTTGTCTACTTATTTGTTTTACAAACTTATTTCGATTACTTACCTCATTAGTATTTTGTTGTAATTTAGCTACTTAATTGAGGCGTTTTTCATTTTTTGAATCATTAATGCGTCAGCATAAATAAATAATAACTATCGATGTCATTAATTCTTTATTGTTGTTTCTTATGATATATAATTTAAAGCTTGTTGTTTCTAATTAGAGGAGTGCTTTTTTGATTTATTTAAATGGATCTTTTGTCGAGAATATGTAATGCGTTATTTATCCATGTAAGGTTGTGCCCGTAAGGGAAAGTCAATGTCAATTCTTTAAAAAAATCAATTTTAAAAGTCATTTTGTATAAGCCAAAGCGGGGCCAAATAATTAAGGACAAAAAATCGTTTTGTGGCTCTCTATCGCTTACACATCTCATTGATTTCCAGAGCGGAACGATTTGCTTTCATTATTTTCAGTAGACAATGGCAGTTTTTAAAAATTTTTCCTGACCATCCTTTTTTCTGAATGTCTTTCTTCTTTTCTTTTTTTTTGCACATCACTTGTTAGGGCGATTATTCATGCTTAGTGTATGGCGGGATAATGTGCCTGTTTTGAAAAAAAGGAAATAATTGTGTTGACAACCTGAAGTGGAATTGCACTTCCGGAAAGGGTTGGATTTATTTGTTGTATCTGATATACCTTTGAAATTTAAAAAACAGGAAAACAAGTGAGAAATGAAACACTATCCGGAGATTGATATTTCACGTTTTCTTGTAGACAGTTGTTTCCTCTACTTCTTTCGTGATGTGCAAAAATTTTCTCTTGGCTTTTTTGTTCCATCAAAATTTTTTTGTTGACCTTTAATCATTTCTAATCCTAGATTGGCTCTAATTTTTGCAGTAAAGGAACACAAAAGTAATCGAATTTAGTTTTAATTGCGGTGCTCTTATTCTCATTGCCCTACTAATAATTGGGGTTTATCTATTATTTTTGATTCATGGAACTGCTGAAATTATTATCAGTTTCTCTTTCAAGGCTTACTGCTTTTAAGATTTTAGTGGTAATGCTGTGATCATTTTTTCTTTTCTCGTTGTTTTCCTGAATTCATTATTTTCTGTTTAAAATGTCAATAATTAATTGATTGGTAATATGATTCTCATTTCACAGTACAAGGATCTTATCATTACTTGTTGATAATGAATTACTTGCTACTTTTTTGTTTTTCATTGTGCATGGATTATTGTTTTGTCTAGCTCGATTCCATATCACCATATTTGTCATTCATTCTTCAGCGATAAAAATAAGCCTTATTTACACTACTACTATGCAATATGTGAAGAAAAGATAGGCGTCAATCGCCAATCTTATGAAAGCGAGAGTTTTGTATGTGAAAATGAAATTAACTGTCTCTGATTCATGTGATTTTATTTGAGATGTTTAATTTATTTATTATTGAGCTTTCTGCCACGGCATAAAAATAAGATTTTCGGTTATTATTTCAGAGAACACAGATAATGCAAAAGCGGAACATCAGGAACAGCATGTTGGTACTGAAAAGTCACAAGATGTTGACCATTCAACGGAAAAGGTGAAGTTCTGTCCCATAATACATAGTTTAATATCAGCGAAATAGAAAAATTCAGGTTTTATGCGCGGCGGATTCGATTCTGAGTAGTACTGATCAGTCATACTCTTTTTAAACTGCTACAAGTATGACTGAGGAATGTGCGCTAGATTAAAGAATTCGTAATTTGAATTAAAAAGTGGTTGTTTGAAGAAGGAAACGTCGCCAACTGTACCATCTACAAACAATCAGCAGCAGCAACTTGGTCCTGTATTACAGCATCCTGCAAATCATTTTCAGATGGGGAATGTTGAAGGTAATTTCAGCTTATATGGATTTAGACATATAGAAGGGATCGTGCATTGAACACCTGAAGGATGTTGGTTTTGTATTTCGATAGTGCATGAATTCTTTTTTAGATTAGAAAATTTAAATCAGTACTAATATTTAGTAATTTTGCACGAAGTTTTTAGGGGATTGGCTACCATTGTTTGGCGAATAATGATACAGCTTTTTTTTTTCGTTAACTCTTAATTCCATAGTATTGCGAAGTTTTTTTGGTGAGTAAAAAGTTAAACAAAAAAAAGGAAGAAGAATATAATCTATATCAACTATTGATAATGGTTTCCGCTCCTTTTCTCTCTCTCTCTCTCTCTTATATCCAGAAGGATTGTTCAAGCAAATTCAAAGTGGTAAACTTGTTTTTCTCCGGCATTATATAAGAATATTTGGTTTTGCAGAAGAGCAGAAGAATGGTGATAGTGGTGCTTTAATAGTAGCAGAAAATCAGCTTGTTAATGTAAATTCGAGTAATGCAATATCTGTTGCCTCACAGGCACAGCAGGCGCAATCACAGATTTCTGGAGGATCAATACTTGATCAGTTATTACCGGCGAAACAAAATGGTTGGTCAGAAACTATAAGTGATAAGTCATTGTGCAAAGCAATCTTCTGACACTTTAACGGATAAAACTAGTAACTAATAAATTTGGTCAGGCGATTGGCATCTGACGGTTTGTATTTCAGTCTTCTATGGTTCCATCACAATCACTCTAATATAGTTTTGCTCTATAAGACATTATAATCTAATCAGCTGTAGATCAGTAGTTCTTTTCTTGAATCTTTGGTGACCTGAACAAAAATGTTTAACAAATCTTTGTCCTCTGCGAAGAACTTTGGGAAAATATCCAATGTAACACTACTTGTTTTAGAAATGGAGGACAAAACTGGTGTAAAAAAAATGGCCGGGTGGGACACTTTGGCGAAGAAAAGTCAAAGTGGTAGTTTGAATATGCAAACGTCAACGCAGTTTGAATTGTTTCGGAAGCATGCCAGAGAAAAGGAAGAAAAGGTTGTCTTTGTGTTACTTAATTGCAAGTAATATTCCAGCATCTGGTTATTGAAAGATTATTTTGAGTGATAGTGCCGATGAAAGCTGGTATATTATGTTATATCATGGTGTTAGTGTTGGAAATTTATGTAGCAATGATGACGTGGTGTGAAATGGTGCTTCTTTATCAACAATTTCATTTTTTTTAAATTAAAGCGTAAGCAGTTGAGAGTGGAAGAAGAACGAAGACGCCGTTTGAAAGAACAGGAAGAGAGGGAGCGTGTTAAGGATCACGCTGCAGTCAAAACTGCTGAGCTGGAGCAGAGAAGGCAGAATGAGCTTTTGCGTCAGAAGGAGCAGGTTAGATCTACAGTTTATTTGTTGAGTTTAGTGGTAGAAATAATTTGTTGTGATTATTTTGAGCTTTGGATTTGCTAAAATGATAATATTACTAAAAATTTTTTCTTGGATATCGTTTATCATCACTTCTCTTAATAAGTGTAATTTGTTTCTTGTTAGCATCTCAAATTATCTCTTACTGAAATTTTGATTATTGATAGTCATTTTAAAATAATTTTATGCTTTTGCTTATAAAACTTTGAAAACTTTGAATTTCAATTTATCACTTTGTTCCTTAGTGGAAATATCATATTGAAATTAAAAATCATATAATCAGGAGCAAAAACAAAAAAATGAAAGCAACTGAATTGCAGGAAAGACGACGTCGTGAAGCGATGAGTACAGGTGGCAATGTCACGAGTCAGATGGATTTAATGCTCAATTTCGAAGCTAATTTCTAGAAGCTATTTTTTTAATGTATTTCTGGTGGTAATACTATGTATTTTACTGATATTGTTTGCTTGTTTACATTATAGAACCTTATCAATATGTTTGAAATTAGTGTTGGACTTGATGGTGTGGGAAGGAAAGGAGGGAGTAACTTTCTGCGGTTTTGTTGATTTCTTGCCTGAAGTCATTTGGGTAGATTAGTTTTTTCGTCTTCTTTTTTGAAATAATCTGCAAATGATATTTATGTTTATAAATGTAAGAATTTCTGAAGTCCACAAAACAAAATAATTGTTATTGAATCTTTGATAATGAATTCCACAGCATATGAAATAGCTGTTTTGTGGTCTATAGAATTTTGAATTTGTGGGATGGAAATGTGAATTTGAATCTCATTTTGGTTGCAAGAGGACATTCATTTCTGCAGTTTTGAAATTATCAGCCATCGAATTATCCTTTTTCCGTGGTACTAAGTTCTTTTTTTTGTACAGTGATATGTATAGTTTGAATTTGTTTAAGAATTTTTAGTTTTATTATTTCATATGCCTGACATTGTTTTAGTGCTATACAGTAGTACCGCCAGCAGAGTGCAAGCACATGTGTATTTGTCATGTACTTATTTGCTTTTTGTAAGGAAATGTTTATTGATGGATTTCAACAGGATGTTACTTTTTTTCTAGTAATTTCGAGATAACTCGAACTGTGTGTCGTTAGCCACTTATTTCTGAAGGTTATTATTGGCTGAGAACTTTAAAAAATCATTGTAATAATCATGCATAATGTGAGTCGACTACTGTTTTCCGGATTTCCGGTATGGGTATTAAAAGACCTAACAGTTGATTAGAGTAGTGAAACGGCAGTCGTCGTAAATCATTATCTTTTCTAAGAGAACGTAAACGAAGGTAGGCAAAGGAAGCAAGTGATATCGAATCTTTGGTTATCTAATATTCGAGCAAATTGATACTTTTAGTGTGCAGTATTCCGAGTATCTCATTAACGGCTAGCTGTTCTGATTTTTCTGAAGGTGGCTAAATTTTCTTGTTGCTGTTATTAATATGAAATGGCGTGCACCGATCTATTATTAACTTTAAAAACTTTGTTTCGTTACAGATTTCTTTTTGTATAAAGGATTTACTTTCAAATTCAAATATGTGGTGGTATCTTCAGAATACTATTAAGTAGGCTTTTTCACATGTATTTTATTAGGAGAATTCAGTTAAATAGGAACAGAAAACAAATTTCTCTACGTAGGATACAATAAAAGCACCAAATTTTTATTACGCTACTTACTGTGCGTAGCTTTTATATTTTTTCTGTGAGAAGGTCTTACTATTGGCAGTTATCATTGCATCTCACTTTCATAAGTGAAACTATCTACTGTTTTGGCGTTTTAACGACAAATTATTCCATGTAATATGAAGAGTAACATTTCTGGATAATTTACTTGATTGCTTGTTTTTTTTCTTTCCTCGAGAGATTCAAATGTTACGCGGTTCTCTAAATGTTTTTTAAAATTATGACATGTTATTTTATTTCTCTCTCTCTGTCGTCTTTGTTTTTCCTATATGCTCACCATGTTCTTTTTTATTAAAAAGGGAAATAATAATGTTAAGTAGAAAGAAAACAATGTTAATACCTTTACTTTACACTTATTTTTCGAAAAAGAAAATGAAGTGACGAATTATCGATAAATGGCAAAAAAAAGCAATTCAGCTATTAAATAAATCTGTCTTCTAACTAGTGATTACAAATCACCTCATTTCAATATTCTAATACTAACAACTAAAGTCCTCTCTCTGAACATTGGGTAGTTTATAAAGTTTATGACACAGGTTAAGGACT